AAGATGAGCTTGAGGGTGACTTAGAAAGTCAGAGCTGGGAGGAGAAACCCAGAAGAGTCTCACATCAGAGAAACCTAGGGAACAGAGTTTTCAAAACCAGGGTCTGAGCGACAATGTGGAGAGCTACAGGAAGGAAAGAAAACAAAAGACCAAGCATGAAGAAAGGCTCCAGGCTGTGGAGGGTTTGTGCTCCACAAGTTATAGGAGGCTGCAGGGACAGAAGCCAGGCAACAGGGGCAAGGAGTGGCCTCGGGAGTGACAGATCATAAAGCCCCCTCTCGTGAGAAACTGGGATAATGGAAGGGGAGACGAAAAAGTGTTAGCTAAGAAATTAGAAAACAGATTTTTTTTCTTTTTTTTTTTTTTTTGAGGGTGAGATTCGACCATGTTTTTCTGCAAAAAGAGTCTGAGAAGCATGCCCTAAGCCTGTGCAGATTCCGTTCCAAGCACCTCCAAACAGCACACATGCTTCCAAACAGCACACACGCTTCCCTCCATGCACCCCCAGGTGGGAACAGTGGCCACAGGTCAACGCTTCTCTTCCCTGCTGGACCATTTGTTCACCACAGGAACAAATCTGCTCTGTCTTGTTCACCACCTGACACTTAGAAGAGGCTCAAACCTGGTCATTGTCTGGGGACTCAAGACAGAGCAAGCAGCGTTCCCACTACAAAGCTTCCAGAACAGGAAGGAAAGTTGGACCGGGAGCCGACGGGGCTCAGCCGGGAGAAACACGAGGCCAGCTGAAGCCAGTGGGCCTGTGAGAAAGAGGGCTCCCTGCCTGGCACCAGAGCTGCAGTCCCTTGTTGAAATGCACACGGAGCAGGGTCTGGGAATGCTTATTCCCACCTTGTTGCCTCGTGAGCACGCCCCATGCCATTCTGGGCACACCCTCAGCAACAACAAGACTAGCTCTCAGCCACCCTCCCAGCTCGGTATGGTGTGGACGTGCTGATCTTATGGCCAGAGGGACAAGGGGAAGTGCTGCATAGACTCCAGCTGGTGGGGCAGATCTTTTGTCTTTTCCTTCTCCTTCCTGCAGCCTGGAACTCAAACGAGAAGGCCCGGGCTTCAGCAGCCACCTTTGGCTATGGAGTAATCTTGAGACACAGACACATGCAGGAAACTTTAGTATTAAAATAGGAGAAGCCCAGTTCTTCTGTGACTTCATAGAGCCCTTGCACTTTATGGTAGCCTGGTTGCTTCCTTCCAGACTTTTTCTGACAGGAGAGAAATTAAACACCTGTCTTACCTAAGCCAGTATTATGCTGAATTTTCTGTTCCATGCAGCCAAACTCAATCTTTACATTAATGCTAAACCATTAATGAAACTGCTAGGAGAAGCTGCCTTGCCAGGCTCCCTGGTGGGTACCGTCACATCCAGTACCCGGTCTCTCAAACTTCCCCACACCCACCACAGAAAAGCAAGAACTAGGTACAGTATCTGGCATTCTGTAGGCGCTGATGGTCATGGAATGCAGTCTCTCTGATGTATTTTAAGTTGCCATTCAAAAATAAAGCACTCAGGTAACATAAGTGAATTTTGATAAAATTACATGTAACAGTTCCTGTTTGGGTTGATAGAGCTCTTTCTTTAAAAAGGCTGAATTTTATGTCCTTTTATAGAATTAAAGTTTTTACTTTTCATTTGTGATGAGCTGAATTTTCAGGCTGATGAAATAAGTCACTGATATTTACCACACAGGACTTAATAAAAAAGAAGCTTAGGTTTCAATGGTGGGTTTCTTTTTGGGGCATAGACCGTGGTTTTATAGTAGAAAGCTTTGTAGATGGACTCGCACTGACGTCCTGTTGCTCCTCACATGTGTGTTTCGTCTTGGAGGCCAGGCTCCTCCGTAGGTTCGCTAGCCGACAAGTGAGACCGAAGGAGGCAGCTGTTGGGGGAACTCAGCCTTCCTTCCCACCACACCTACACCTTGCTGAGCCACTGCTCCCAAGACGAGGCACAGAATCCCCAGAGCAGCCTGGCTTCAACCTACTCATTTGGTGTTCTTTAAATTAAAAAAAAAAAAAAAAAAAAAAAACTTCTGGCAGAGCGTGGTGGCTCATGCCTGTAATCCCAACACTTAGGGAGGCTGAGGTGGGTGGATTGCTTCAGCACGGGAAGGAGTTCCAGGCCAGCCCAGGCAACACAGTGAAACCCTATCTCTATAAGAGAAATATGAAAGTGATCCAGGCATGTTGGCACGTGCCTGTAGTCCCTGCTACTCAGGAAGCCGAGGTGGGAGAATCATCGGAGCCTGGGAGTTTGATGCTGCAGTGAGCCAAAATTGTGCCACTGCACTCCAGCCGCGGCAAGAGAGCAAGATCTGTCTCAAAACAAAAAAAAAAAGAATTTTTTTTATATCACTAGTTTTCTTGCATGGCCTATGAGTTCCCATCCACTGTGTAAGCCTTTATAACTGTTACGGTGGGATCCAAGTGTAAGCTCTGAGTTACTCTCTCATTCTCCCCCATTCACTTACAGATGACATTCTTGCAGACCAGACCAGCACGGCTCCTTGCCCAAGGCCACACAGGCAGGAACCGCCAGGCAGCCCGTCCAGTGTCCCAGCCGAGCCCTCCTGGGAGGTTCCTGTGTGCTGGACACATGCCTGGCTGGCTATTAGCTGTGTAGTTTACCCAGTGGTTACACCATCTTGAAGAGGTCTTTCTGGAGACGACGTTGACTTTGAAATTACTTGCATTATCCAGTATTCAGCTGTGGTCATTGTGATCCTTTCCAAGCCATACATAATTTTGGGTTTTGTTGTGGCTGCTGACCAGCATCTCTGTTTAAGAGACTGAGCTTTGCGCTAGCGATTCTGGTTTTGATGCATTTCCTAGGCACGCCCACTTCTCTGGTAGAAAGCTAGAAGTGAGTCCCTCACCTAGCTGATCCTTGTGAAGATGAACAGTTCTCTCCATTTGTGTTTAGTGACAAGTATATTCGTTAAAATATCATGAAGCCTTTACAAGGTGTTCTACTAACTAGTTCGAGACACAACTTGTATACTCTGCACTGAATGGGTTTGCATAGGTTGTTACATAGATTATCGTACGCCTATAATAAATAGATTGTGGAAAACACTGCTAAAAATGTTTCAATGAGGACCAGGCACAGTGGCTCACACTTGTAATCCCAGCGCTTCGGGAGGCTGAGGCAGGAGGATCGCTTGAGCCCAGGAATTCAAGGCTGCAGTGAGCTACGATTGTGCCACTGTACTCTAACCTGGGCAGCAGTGAGACCCTGTCTCAAAAAAAAAAAAACCTTTTTTTTTCATTGAGTTTAAGAGGGGTTTCTTGTATGGTCACACACACAAAAAAACTGTTTAATTCCTTTACTCTTATGAGCCACTTATTTGGTTCTTCAAACATGTAGAGGACAAAAAGGCACTGTTTCTTTAGGTTAAAAAATGGGCAAAAAAATCTGATTTTACTTTTCTTTTCTCAAATATTATTCACTAATTATTAACAGCAAACGCTGTGTCTCCTGGAGTCACCAGGCGCCGAGCACTGTGTGTGTTTCACCTGAGTGGTGTTTTCATTCTCATTTCATGTATTTGAAAGCTGGGGCTCGGTACAGTTATGACATTGGCCCAGGGCCACTCAGATTGCAAATGACAGAGCCAGGGTGTGAACCCAGATAGGTCAACCTCAACATGAGTGTCTCTGACTCTTCAGGTTAATAGCCTTCTCCAGATACCAAAGCAGCACTAAACCATCTATGCAGTTGTGCGGGCACCTGTGTGGGATAGAAAGGGCTGAGGGATCCTGCTGCCACATTGATAACGATCGCTGGAACCAGGGTCTGAAACCGAGTCGGACTGACCCTGAAACCTATTTACCTGACCACTTTACTCCCACACCTCGGGCTGTCTTGTAAAGGAAGGGTTAAAGAATATATGATGCAACCTCCTGAAACAGGCAGCCTAGGAACTTTGACCCACGCACTCAGCCGGATCTCTGTGGCCACCTCTGTGATCCAGACGGCCGCTTGGGGACAGCAGAGGCTCAGGGGCAGTGAAAAGCAGTGCCCGGGCTGGAGATGAAAGAGCCAATTCTCCATTCTTCTGTGAGTCCCCGGAGATGAACACTGTGAACTTGTTTCCAGTCTCTGTGTCTCGTGCCAGCGGCCCTTCCCTCCCCCTTCCAAGGACAAGTCCACCCCCAGATGATTTGCCCCTGGAAATGGGTCCTCATGGACAGGGGAGAATCAGAGATTATTTGCTTGAGGTGGCAAAAAAAAAAAAAAAAATACAGACACATCTCCAGCTAACCCTTTTTATAGATGTATTTTTGTTTTTTACAAACCAAATACCAGAGTTTCATTATTAGCACAGTAGTTTGGGTTTGTTTTTTTTGTTTTGTTTTGTTTTTTTCTCGTCATTAACCACTTAGTTACTATAAATGTGATTTTAACTCACGGAAAAAGTACCCACATACCATAAAAACCTGAATTCTACCTAGTCAGCTCCGAATGGAAGGCTTCCAAGGCCCGGGAGGCACGCTCTATCGAGTTGCTGATTCGGGAGATAGCAGTGAATCGGGGTTCCACCACGCCCCCAGAATGCTGTTCACAGCAGCTTTGTCATTGACAGTTCTCCCTTTTGGACAAAATCTGAAACAAAACTTCCAATCACCTCCGATCCTAACAGCTTTACCTCTCTTAGATTTAAGGATTCTTAGTCAAATTTCAACTCAAATAGGTTACCTAGGAAGATTCTTAGGGCTTAACCTACTTACTTCTTCTTGTGGTTTCAATTGAAAGTGATAGACTCTTCTAGGCTGTTTGTGTTCCACCGTTCGGTGGTGAAATCACTGCTACCTCTCCCTCCGTAGAGAGCCCACTGCTTCCTACCAATGAGTTAAGTAATTTGTTCTGCCCATTTCTGCACATTTGTGTTCATAAAATCAGCTGAAAGATGAAAGTGACTGAAGAAATTGCTAACAATTACGAGGCTTTCCTTAAATTGATAGTTTGTTTTACTTCATTCTAGTTCTCAATGGAAACAAAAGGCAAGAATGATCTTTGGAATGCTGTGTGTACAAAATCAACCCAAACAAGAGATAGATGAGACTCATTGTCTTCCTCCAGAATAACAATCGCCTGTAATTGCTGTGCTGATGAAACAGTCACAAGAGGCATGACAGACCCAGAAAGAGACCCTTGGTGCTTCACGTGGTATCTGTCTTTATACGGGTCTCTTTTACATTCAGCAGGTTTCATTAGAAAAAAGAATTTCGAAGTATTTCATTAACAAAACTGAGGAAATGCGTATTTAAACATTGATACCCCTGTGAAAGAGTAATTTCTTACGTAAATGTAGCATTTTCACCTATGTTACCTCATTTAATCTTCAGAACTAATCTTAAGATGCAATTTTCCAATTTTATAGACAAGGAAGTGGAAACTTATAGATGTGAATTCACTTGTTCTGGGTCACGGAGGTGTAATTTTTAGAGCGCAGTCTTAGTTAGTGGTCTTGACTCTAAGTTCAAAATAGAGGCCTCCACTTTGCCGAGCACCAAAAGAGCGAGAGATGAGTTAGTGCGTGAGTCCCAAGAGGAAGGGACTCTGCAGGTCCTTAGCAGTTAAGGAAGCGTCATGAAACATTTCTTGAAGAATGGATAGGATTTAAATAGTTTAGAAGATGCAGTCTTGAAACTATGTGGGTGATCCAGGTTGCATGAGCAACAAATATTTGTTGGACAAGTGAAGAGTGAATGAATGAGGATGGAGGTGTCTGAGATCAGGAAAATGATCTGGGAAGGTATGAAGGCAAACATTCCCACGATGTGTTCGGGGAACAATGAGTAGGAGCCACTGGCTCTAAGAGAGTGTCCATCTGGACAAGTAGAGAGAGATGGACTGCTGGGGGTGCTGTGGGAGCTCGAAGGGCATGGAAGGGCATGGAAGGCCAGGCTAAAAAGTGTTGACTTTGCCTTACAGGCAAAGGTCAGGGCTTCTTTGCTTTTGACTAAGGAACTTTATCTTGAAGACAGGATCATGGGAAATCATTGACAACTTGTAGGACATGATATGAACAAACTCAGTGTTTTAGCAAACTCAGTGTTTTAACAGGGAGTGAAGCACAAAATAGATGAAGTGTGTGTGGTGTGTGTTGACTCTGACTTTAGGAACTCACCCCGTGCTTCTCTAAATCTTCTGTCAGCTCTTCCCATCAGTGGCAAGTAGATTTAAAGGCCAAGCTGCCTAAAAGACATAGGGTTAAAGAAAAAAAAAAAGGAAGAAAAAGAAATGTACCTTTAAAATTTCCCAACCTTGATTTATACCTACAGAGGTGTATTATATGGTCACTCCTTTTATTAGGGTTTTTAAGCTAATCATTAGGCTTGACTAAAGAATTGCAAAACTTTCACTACAAGAAAAATTAAAAGAAGTCGTTTCCTGTATCTAAAATGGTCATGTATACCTCTGAAATTAGGAAAATGCAGGCCAATGATAAAAATATAACTGTAATGAAACTGTAGGATTTTTACTGATTGTATTACACAATATTTCCTGTTGGATTCTTAACACAAAGCAATAAAAAGCTGATTTGGTTTAAAATAAAATATGGAGAGATTCTTGTCCTGTAGGAAGCTCATCACTCTAATGGGTGTCTTACTGGAACAGTATTTTGGCTGTACTGGAGCACATTGAAAGGAATGAGATTTAGCTTTGCCAAACTTCCACTGTGAAAGAGTTTGCTATAACAGTGTTTTATTATATTCTTATTGAACTTCAGCCAGTTGAAAATAGAATCTCCTCACCATCCTTTTAAATTAGCCTTAAGCTGCAGATAAAAGACAAAAATCAATGTGCAAATTTAGCTCCTTGCGCTCAGTTCCTTGAGAAATTTACCCTGGTGCTAATATTCAGGACGCATAGATAATACATAGAGTAACTGGAAGTTTTAAAGAAGCATTTCTTGTTCCGTTTAGATCTACTTAAGAGTCTGGTAAATCCTGTACATAAATTGTTTCTTTAATGCTACAGGTTATAGTGCATATCTTTATACTGTCCATACTAGCTCAGTAACACTGCCCCTGATAACATTTCATGTGGCCATGACAAATTATGGTGAAATTTTCAGTGTCCAGTTGGAATGGAAACTGCTAGAAAAGAGTGGTACCTAAATAATGGTGCAATCTATGTATTTCATTTCACTAAGAATTACTAAGGGTTTCAAAAACTCAAATCGAAAAAGGAAGCCATACACAATGTTTGTATTGGCCATACCAGCTTGAATGTCTCTAATTGTTCTAAGTGGTACAGGTGCTATGAGCTCCTAAGAATATCCCTGTGTTTGAGAGGAGTTAATTCAGAGCCTTGAGTTGCTTGCTGTCCTGCCACACTGCTCGAGAAATGTTAGCAACATAAAGAAATGCAACTTTGCCTGACTTCAGGCATTAATATAAAGAAACCTACGTACAGGCACCCAGAGACACAAAAAGAGAGAGAAAACTCACCACTCTCGAAAAAGGCAGTTCTGCAGGTTCCACAAACAAGTACACCAGTGTATGGGAATGATAAAAGGAGAACAATTTGGTTACATTCAGAGACCTGGTGGGCAAATGGAAATGGGAGAAGCAGTGGAAATTAGGCCAGATCATGAAAGATTTGTTTTGTTTCCATGGCATATACGTGCAAGGCCAGGAAAGCTAAAGCCAGAACGCCAATGCAATTAATTAGCAGAAACCAAAAAGTAATTAATTTAGCACGACATCGTATAGGGCAGAAGCAAATACTGCTGTCCGTAGCCAGCGATGGGGAAAGAATGTAACCACACTCCAGTGGGGCACCTCTGCACATGGCACCGCAGAGAGAAAGATGGAAGAGGAGTGCAGCCGTATGCTGGGAGTCGTCCTGATTGTTTTTCACTGAAAAAAGCAAGTGGGAACAATTGACCAGAATAAGCCTGGATTGTAGTAGAAAATGAAACTAAGAAAGAAAGATCGGGGGACATTGTGATAAAACAATCCACGTAATTTCTATAACATGGATCCATCTTAATAAGACGTTCTGAAGTTCAGCATGAGTACAGTTCCAGGACAGTTCAGGGTTGTCATAGGAACTCTACGTTTTTCAAATTAACAGGACTTAAAGATGTTACATGCCGTTACTTCAACACTTGGTAAATTTCACTGCAAATACTTAAGCCATTTTTAAGGAAAATATTAGATAATCAAAGAATTCATTAAGAAAAAGAACAAATTGAGTGCCCACAATATAAATGGAGGCCCTGCTGCAGATTCATCCCTGATGCCTGAGATAAGATGCTGGAGGAAATCGCGGCATCATCAATTTAATCCTGCACAAAATGCAAGGGGCCGCCTCAGCTTAGCTGCAGTTGTAGTGGGCGTGAACTTCACAGGGGCATCACTGAAGGCCAAAATTAAATGTTCTCTATTTTTCTGTATCTCAGTGTCACGTCCTGATCCTGAGCCCCAGACTGCCTCAGGGGTCCAGTAGGGATGCCTCTCAGTGGGGTGTGCATGGGGAGAATTTTGCTGCGATGAGCTCCAGAGCTGCTTCCCTGTGTCTCCTCTCTCACTGCTGACCCCACCCCCATCTACTCTAAGCCCCAGCAAATCACCCCAGCACTCCCAGGCAGCGGGCAAGGGAGGGTGCGCCCCCTCCTCTCTCTGTTTTGGTCCAGAGTCTATGTCACAGGACTTCTTTAAAGGGTGACTGGGCCTTTCTGCTGGCCTTCACTTCACTCTCAGCTCAGCTTGCAGGCACCCTCTGAGACACAGGCACTGTCCCCTTATAGAATCTGCATAGTGGGCTGCCTCACCAGGGGGCTTCGTTGTGTGGCCTATTCTCTGGCAGGCTTTCAGATTGACTTCCCCTTTCCCCCAAGAATGGGGCCAAGGGGTGGACCCCAACATAGCCCGCTGGCTGCACACACCTGGAGAGCTGCTGTCCAATGGCAAATGGAAGCAACATTCTCATTGTCTCCACTCTCAGACACCCTCAGATTACTGAGGGAATTCTCTCGTGTGCCCCCTCAACACACACACACACACACAGACACACACGGACACACATACACACAGACACACTCAGACACAGACACACACACACACACACACTCAGACACAGACACACACACACAGACTACTTGTCATTCTAAACTTGCCACCTCTGTCCTCAGAATGGGGCCAGTGTGGTGGAGAGGCCTGTTTTGCCTGGCTGTGCCCCAATCCCATCTCTCCCAACTTAGATTCTTACTAAGAGTTGGAACTCTTGATTCCTCTGGCTGGCAGCCTTCCCCTGGACACACCCTGTCTCCCGGCCCAGTGGAGCCGGCGCATGCAGGTGCAGGTGCAGGTGCAGGTGCAGGTGCAGGTGCGCTCTCTCACTCCTGCCGGACGAGGCGCTCCCCAGCCCCATCTCACAGACTAAAACATGAGGCCGTTCCCTTGCTTCCGAGTAGTTTGATGTCGTTCAACTCAACACTATTTCCTCTCCACCGCTCTGCTGCCTCCCTGGAGGCGCTTCTGTTCCTACTCCCGAGGGGCACAGTCAGGAAGTATTTAGTCGGCCTCCGTCGCCCTCACCGCACACACGAGGCCAATTTGACGGTTGTTTTGGGGGCATCCACTCCTGGGGCTCTTGACATTTTCCCCGGGCTCTGCGCCATCAGCAGCCTTTCCTGCCCCCACTTCTCAGTCTCTGCCTCCTCTCCTGGCACCTGCTCTGCAGGGAGGGAGACACCCCTGTCCTCAAACTCCACACGGTCCCGGGTAATTTCATCCATTTCCCTTCCATGTCAGTGGCTCCCAAATCTGTTTTTCTCCAAGTCTGTTCTCAACACCAAGTCACAGTTTCAACTGTACTTGATACAACACCTGAACCTCAGGATGGCCTAAATTGAACTCATTATCGACTTCCCACATCCGCTCCTCCATTGTATGGCCAACATCCCTCCATAGACTGATCTATTCGCGGCCTCTGCTGGAACCTCAGTGCTACCTTGGGCACTGCCCTTGCCCGCCCTACCCACAGCCAGTCAGTGCACCCAGGCCTGTGCAACTGGCCTGTAATAGGCTCCTGTGCTCGCCACCCGCCTTTGCCAATGGCTCAGGACTGACCCCGTCTCTTTGCAGCACTGCTGAGAACGCCTCTCAACGGAGAGTCCGCGCTCCTCCCCTCCATGAATGTATCTGCTTTCCACCCTAGACATTATCCTGGTGCTGCTACGTTGGCACCCCTGTCACCTGCAGAGCCATCTAAACCCACTGGCAGCATACAGAGACCCTGCTGGATTTCCCAGCCCCGAATCCCGCCTTTCCTACTTCACCTTCTTTTCTACCTCACTTAGTGGGTTTCCCATCCCAAAGTGGATTCACAACCTCCATGGTGTATCAGAGTCCTACTCCTCCCAGGTCCAAAAGAGTTTCTTTGGGGAGGAGCCCCAGCATCGCAGGCCGTGAGTCAGGGCTCTCCTTCAGCACTGCTGTGACGCGGCATGTAACCCCACCTGCACACTTAGCACCTCCTGTTAGGCGCCTGTCCGCTGGCCTGCCCCTGTCATCGCATGAAGAACTCCTGGGAAGCCGGGCTTTCTCCCAGTCCCCTTTATATTCCTAGGGTCTAGGGCATGCCTCACACTAAGTCAATACCAAATAAACTG